CTTGATCCCCGCTTCATCTCTCAGCACATGATATCCTGTAGAGAGCTGGACATATGGGGCTTGACGCCCTTGATGAACGCGAGTCAAGGTGCCGAAGAAGAAACAGTCGTCGAGACATTTCATCAAGTCATGGAGATAATCGTCAAGAATTGACGCAGCTGCCAACTCCTCAAATGAAAGGGGGAATCGCCGCCCTTGCTGAACAGCGTTATGTTGCCACGCTCGAAAGACATCTGCTCTCGGCGCCGCCTGTGTATAGTAAGTAAGAAAGTTGTCACGGGCTGATCTCTGGTAACCATATACAAGGCCCTCGGCAAAATCCTTGACCGTCTCGTACGCGAGTTGCCTAGCGTTGTAGGTTCTAGGTATCAGAGGCAGAAATGGCCGCAGCTGGATCGATTTGGCAGAATAAGCTTGCTGATGAATGCCAAGTTCTGGAAAGGAGACAAGATGGCAGATTTCAGTCCTCTTGCAGTGATATTTATGGAATTGTGGGAACAATTGGTTTTCCATGTTAATGTTTGGTGTTTGGTGTTTGAGATGATGCCTTTTTGTCTGCGAATTCAAGTCGTTAATGGCGAGATAGAACCTGGAATAGGTTTACGGGCGATGCTATATACTGGAACTTGTCGAGCAAACTGTCGTCAAAGGAAGCACCCCAAAAATATGTCAAACCCTCGACATAAAGGCTGAGGAACTCGACAAGAGTTTTGAAACCTCTAGGCCTCGCTGGGTGACCGTCTGGTATCGTTTGAGAGACAATACCATTCATTGCTTTAACCCACACCAAGGCCTGTCTCATGACTGATCGAGTCTTCTCCTTATTTGACTTGATCTAGATAATTATGATAACTTGAATGCTGATAGAAAGAGCCGGCTCGTAGGCCTGCAATCGAGGTCCTGCCATTGAAACTGAAGCCAGCTATCTATACAATGGACCTAACAAAGAGAAGAATTCGCAAAATGTATTATTGTAAGAGTAAGTATTCTCGAAATGAAAACAGCTTCCTTCTTGTCATTCATCTTTCTTGTGTCGTTTAGATTTGATTTTGGGCACGAGAGTTTGACCTCGCTTGAATAAGGACGCAATGAAGAGTCGGAAGCCTTTGGACGTCTTGGAAGTATCTATAATCGCAGCTAGATCTTGAGAAGTTGAGCCTGAATCTGGTCCCGAAGATGACTTAGGAGTTGTTTCAGGAGTCGGTTGAGGCGTTGGTTCTGGAGCTGGTTCAAGAGTTGGCTCTGGAACTGCCACTGAAGTTGGCTTCGAAGTCTCTGTTTTCGACCATACATGCGTACATGTAACCGACACCAAACACCCCCCGTCGTTGATCTCCATACGAACGAGCTTTTCAGGAGTATCCTCTTGAATGAGAGGATTCAAGCGTCCGAAATGTGGTAGCGAACGCCATTTTCTGTACTCGTCCTCCTCCTCCCTGAAGCTTACAAGCGGGAAGAAGAACCCCCCGTGGAGGTCGTAGGGCCACCAGGCCGTGAAATCAGGATGCCAACTGTTCAACTCCTCCATCATCAAGGTGTTCATCCTCAGAAATGTCTCGCCATGTCCAGTAAAGCCCCTAGTGTTTGGTATATCTTTTTTTGCAACAGGCGCATGTGCAGATGAACACGTCAATATATGCATGTAGCAGCTCATGCAACAGGGTTCTGATTGCGAACTGTAGCGATGCATAATAGATTGGTCCCGAGTGATCGCGAAGGGCTTCAAATACAGCAACTTCAGAGTAGGGATACCCAAACTCGGAGCTACCTTTGCATATGCCACCACAATAAATGCGATCGGGTGAGATATGTGTTTTTAGAAGATCATTCCCGGCATCGAGACGGACCAAGGGGCGTAAGTAGCAGGGGCGATGTCGAGTCAATGTGCCGAAAAAGAAATATTCGTCGAACATCCTGATGATTTCGCTTAAACTGTCTCTGAAAAATGTTTTTCTCTGCGCGGGTGGCGGTGATGTTGTCAAGTGGATATCTATGTGTGGTGGACCATCAAAGGCTCTTGGCGCAAACTGTTTAGAGTACCACTTCAGAAATGCAGATTTGGCCATCAACTAATGTGGATAGCGCTCGCCGGATAGAAATCCCGCGCATGTGGCATCCTGGAGGTCGGTAGCGTCGTATGTCCCTATTGTCAAGTCCAGGAAAGGAGGGTGATCGGCCAAAGATCTCAATGAACTTGCGTAACTCTCGGCCAAGCTCTCCTCACAGAGCCTCGGAAAACAAGGGTGTTCGAAAGTCTCGCAGGCCTTGGCTGCGGAATCTTGCGGCTCGTGTGGTAAGCCTTGAGCGGCCATGATTCTATTCGTTTGCTGATGTTGGCCAAGTGTGAAATGTATGGAAGTCGGAGTCAAGTCGACTGAAACATCACTCCCGAAAAGCCAGATGTTGAGTATTGAAGCAAGAAAAGTTCTGGTGGTAAAGAACTCATTGATGTTCGTACTATTTATGTCTCTCCGTGGGGGGCTTCCCAGAAAGGTGATCGCAACTTTACAAACACCGGCCTCATACATTTTCCTTGCACCTTAATGGCCAAGTCGTTGCTTTCCAGTCCTTAGTATATCAAAACTTGACCTGCGCCTTGCGCTCATTGGTTAAGTCATCGTACCAAGTTTGAAGAGAAGCGGTACCTATTTGACTTGAGCAGTCTATCAACACTTGCATTTGTATGTTTACAGAAAGGAGCGATTATTGCGCGCTCCCCGTTCCATTTGATGGTGAGTGTTGTGGCACAACTGTAAGGGGCTGGCCCCTAGGCTTGTTCAACGTAGAGGTGCCGTCGATTGACTATTCTAAGCTGAAGAAGGAGGAAAGGACTTTACAGGGATAGGCGCCTAGCAGCAGTGATGCAGACCGGGGCTAGGCGGTGTGCTACAGCAGAATAGTGGATCCGGCGGAGCTGGATCTCGGTAGCTGCTCCGGCAAAGCTGGAGATCTCAGCCGGGCTCTAGCCCGTTACATTACCTCCCCGCTCCCCTCCGGCGGCGCGTCCGTGGCGCTAGAGCTGGGTCTCTATCATGCTTCATCGCAGGGCTGTAACGTTGTTCGTAAGCCTCTATTGCTTCCGTCCCCTGGAGCGTCTCGATAGGCTCCTAGGTTCTCTCTGTGTATCCTTCCCACTTAACCAGCACTTCACAGCATCTCCCACGCCCTCGACGCTTCTAGGCGGCAGCGTTAATACTCTCTATATTCTAGGTCTCCTCGCCTTTATTATCTATAATTAGGGGTGGCTGCTTATCGTCCAGCGTTTGCCTAGGTAAAAGGTTGTTACCTATACGCTTCAGGGTATCCACGTGGAAGCGTAGGTATATAGCTGTTAGCATATTAAGCTCTACTACGTATAGTGAGATAACCTTTATAACAGTATACTTATAATGCAACTAATCTAGTTTCTTATATAGCCTAGGGGACCTATAGTAGCCTATATAAAGCTAGACTTTGTCGCCTGCTTTTAGTCTCTCTGTAGGCTGGCGCTTCCTGTTAGCCAGCTCCTCATAGCGTTGCTGCGTTAAGGTAAGGGTCGACCGTGCTATATCTATCACATCCTGGAGCCTTATTACCAACTTACATGCTAGGTCCTTGCGAGGGCCCTCATAGTCTTCTAGGTCTGCCTCTTAAACCTAGACAGGCTCTAGGTGGTATCTATGTTCTAAGAAGAAGCTGCTTATGCCTATAGCGCTGCTATCGCAGCTGCAGAGCGCTAGTTGAGCTGCTGGGAGGTTATTCGCCTAATCCTTCTGTAAGTAGGTAATATAATTGCATAGGTAGGCCTGGATCTCTTGGTTTATCCTTTCTAGGCCTCTATTAGTCTGTAGGTGATAGGCAGTACTAAGCTGCTGTTCTATTCCTAAAAGCTTGCAGAATTACCGCTAGAAGCAGCTTGTCTAGTTGCTTCCTCTGTCGCTCATAATTAAGGTAGGGATGCTGTGGAAGCAGAAGTGGCAACTCAGGAATCGTTCAGCGCAGGCTTCAGCTTCTATACTTTCTATAGCTTTAAGGGTTACGCCTTTTCCTAGCCGGTCGATAATTACCTAAAGGTATCCCTCACCCTTATCTATAAGGGGAAGGTTGGTAATAAAATCCATAGCGAGGTTGCTTCATATATGCTGCGGTATTAGTAGAGGTCTCAGAAGTCCTTTTCAATACTCTCTCCAGATGTGGCTTCGCCTGCAGCCATCGTAATTACAGCAGAAGCATCATACTAGCTGTGACTAGCCAGGCTAGTAGAAGCGCCTACTGACTAATGCGAGGGTATTATCTCTACTAGGGTGGCCACTAAGTACTAAGTTATAGCTGCTTTAAACGATATGAGTATATAGTGTGTTCGCCTCGCTATCTAGGTCTTCACTACCTAGTACTTAGATCTAGTCTCTGAATAGTAGTTGGTTGCTATTATCGATCTCACACTCAGCAATCTGGACCTTTAGCTTAAGGCTAGGAGGGAAGCTTCTTTCTCGTTATTTCACAGCATTATATGCCTGCTAGTAGACTTAGTCTTACCCTTAGGTCTGGTCCTAGAGTTGCTATAGTTCCTTATTGTTAGTAAACATAAGCACTGATAGGGCTGCATCTATATGTTATATATATATTGAGGTAAGGGCTACTTTGGGAAGAAGCTGGAGAATCCAGCCTTATTTGCGCTCGTCCTCTAGAGATGTAGGTATGTCTTATTTGCATCTAAAGAGTGCGTCTGGCACTACTGCTTTACTTCCTGGCTGGTACTATATCTCAAAGTTATACTGAGACAGCTCCTCTGCCTATCAGCTTTGTCGTTCTGTAAGCCTCTGCTTTATCATGAAGTACTTTAGGTTCTTATGATCAGATAGAACCTTAAACTTATTGACGCTCTATAGTTCTGCTCTCCATGCTTATAGGCAGCTAATAATAGCTAGCATCTCCTTATTATAGATTAGGTAGTTAAACTGGGCGGCATTTAGCTGCTGCAAGTAGTATGCTATTACGTGACGTCTCTTATGCTTATCTTCTTATGATAGTACTCCTCTAAGGGTGAAGCCTGAGCAGTCAGCCTCAACATAGGTTATACGCTTAGGGTCTAGTTGATATAGGATAGGCTTAGCTGTAAAGATCCTCTTAAGCTCCTGGAATGCTACTTCCTGCTCTTTACCCCAGTGGAATAGGACGCCCTTCTTTATAAGAGATATAAGGGGTCCAGCAATCTCTAAGTATGCTGGGATAAAGATCCAATAGTAGTTTGCAAACCCTAAGAAGCTTCTAACTCCCTTAACCGTCTTTGGCGCAGCCTATTCCTTAATTGCCTTCAGCTTCTCAGGATCACAGGAGATGCCTACTCCTATGGTGATAATAAACCCTAGGTACTTAACTGTCTTCACAGAGAACGCACACTTATAAGGGTCTAGCTGGAGCCCTGCAAGAGCAAGCTTCTGTAGTACTAGCTTAACCTTTGCTTTATGGTCTTGCTGTAAGCTGTTTAAGTAGATCAGGACGTCGTCTATATATACTGTTGCAAAGTCGTCTAGGTACTCCTAAAGTATACTATTGATATATTGTTAAAACATAGCAGGGGCTCCTGTGAGCCTAAAGGGGACGACAAGTCACTTAAATAGCCTATATCTTATTCGGAAGGCTGTCTTATACTCCTCTCCCTCTGCGATTTAGATCTTATAGAACGCTGCTACTACGTCTAGCTTAGTGAACCACTTAGCAGCGCTGATAGTCTGTAGCATCTCTTGAATCAAAGGGAGAGGGTATCAGTTGCACCTTATAAGTTTGTTAAGGGTGCAGTAGTTAATATAAAAATATATCCCTCCACCTGGTTTGCATATAAACAGTACTAGGGCTAATACTTCTAAGCTACTAGCGCAGATAAAGCCCTTATCTAGTAGGTCTCTCAGGGTCTTATAGAGGATGAGAAGCTCTTCTCATGATATGCTGTAGAGCAGCCCCTATAGTAGTACAGCCTTATTGCTGTCGCTCTCCTATTTAATAGGGATCGTGTGGTTAACTCCAGGGCGATACAGAGGAAGGTTAGCAGCTTTATCAGGTTGGAATAGCTCTCAGAACTCAGCTAGTACAGCTGGTGGAAGGAGGGCCTTTAGGTCTGCCTTCTCAGTCTTCCTCATAAGAGCCTTCTGTATATCTGCTAAGCTGATCGCTCAAACATTATATCCTGCAGTTCCTTTGGTTTGTTGTCATGCCCTCTTATAGAGCGTTGCAAAAGGGGCTCCTAGGAGGAGGCGGGCAGCCCTGATCTAGCGCACTCGCTCTGGCTCTTCCTCGCCTTTCAGACGTAAGTCTACACCACCCCTCCTATGCTGTATACGCTAGGCAGCAGCATCATATAATATATAGTTCCTCTCTATCTAGGGTTTCCCTAAGAACAGGTTGTTACTAAGGCTATATATAGTATATATAAAGATCTTCTTATTATAACTGCACAGCTTAAGGTTAAAGATAACTATACCTATTGCTTTTATAGCGCCTATAATATTGCTGAAGCTGCCTAATACCTGCTTAGAGCGGTCTACTATTAGTAGGCAGAGCTTATAGGCAAGGTTGTAGTTGATAAGGGCGTATAGGTCGCACCTAGTATCTACTAAGGCGTCTGCTTAAATGCCCTTATATATGCAGGTAGTGATTACTGCTGACTTGCTGCTTATGTAATACTTAAACTGCTTCTATTCTGTGATATCACTAGGCTTTGCCTCTAACGCCTAACTTTGCGTTAGAGTTACTCTTTTCCTAAGCTTTCTTCAGCCTCAGAACTTCCTAGCTCCTCTGTAGCACTATCATTACTGCTTCCTTCAGGCTTAGGGTCCTTCTTGACCTTCTTAACCTTCTTAGCCTTCGTAGGGCTGAGAGGCTTCCGCCTAGGGCACCATATAGCGATATGGCTGATCTGGTTATAGTTGTAATAACGGCGACTGTCCTTCTTTGGTTATTGCAGGTCTTCAGATGAGGAGGAGCTGCTACGTCGGCGATATAGCCTTACCCTCTCCTTGCCCTTAGCGCAGCTAACGCTAGAAATCACTATATCTCCGTCTGCATCTTATTAGCTAGGTTGTGGTGCTTTCAAATAAGGTGGGGTACCCTTATGCGCCTGCTGAGGTAGGCTTTCAAGCTTAATAGCGAAATCCTGAACTTTGAGAAGCTATCTGTGGTAGTCATCCTTAGGAAGTTTAATATAGATCAGACCCCTCTTAATATAAGTACTAAGGGCCCCTTCAAGGAAGGCTATCTTAGCTTTATCTGCCTAGTCAGCGCCACCAGCCTCAGCTAGTGTTCGCTCAAACTAGGGTAGAAAGGAGGACAGAGACTAATCGTCTCGCTAGCGAAGGGTTCATAGCGTGGTTGCTGCCTATAGATCTATATTTAGGTCTTTATACGTCTGGTCAAGGTACTTCAGGAATTCAACAGAGTCCTTCTGCCCACCTGGACCTCCTGCTGCGTAGAAGGTAGCTATAACCTGCTGTGGCCTGCTATTAAGGCAGGAGTTAATAAAGTACTAGATATCAGCATTACTGCTAATATACCTTATATCTAGCTCTATCTTATTGCGTATCTGCTAGGCCTATGCTGTGTAGTCCTTACGCCTTCCTATGAACTTCGGGGGGTTTAGCAGGGGCTTCTTTCGCCCTTCTGTTGCTATTATTATACTGTCGCTTATTACCTATATAGTTATATCAGCAGTAGATAGTGTAGGTATGCTGCTTATAAGCAGCATAGGGGTCGCTCTATCTGTTGACATAAGCCTGTTTAAAGCTGTTAAGAGCTGTGTTATCTGGTCCTAAAGAGGACGTATGCTTATATTAACCGCTTTGTTGATCTAGCGATCAATCTCAGCGTTTATTACATCGTTTGCACTACCCTCTGGCGGATCCATGATGCCGCTCTCATGAGGTTCTATATAGCGTCTTCTCGTTACGCTACCCTCAGCGAATCGTTATGTCGCTCTCGTGAGGTTTCATATAGCGTCTTCTCGTTACGCTACCCTCAGCAAATCGTCGTATCGCTCTCGTGAGGTTTCATATAGCGTCTTCTTTTGTTAAGCTTAGAATATGTGAGGGGCTGGCCCCTAGGCTTGTTCAACGTAGAGGTGCCGTCGATTAACTATTCTAAGCTGAAGAAGGAGGAAAGGACTTTACAGGGATAGGCGCCTAGCAGCAGTGATGCAGACCGGGGCTAGGCGGTGTGCTACAGCAGAATAGTGGATCCGGCGGAGCCGGATCTCGGTAGCTGCTCCGGCAAAGCCGGAGATCTCGGCCGGGCTCTAGCCCGTTACAACAACAACTGCATTCAAATATTGGAACAACCTAACGCGCTCTGAGCCTTCGGTTTCTGCAAAGTCCTCCGCGTTTCCCCAGTCCGCGGATTCTGTCATGTATTCTTTTCCCTCGTTTGCACTTCCGGTTGATGGTATCGTACATCAAGGTACTACCTGCAGCTACACCCTTTCGGCTCCCACACGGCTGCACGTGATGGAGACATATATGAGGGAGAGTTCTGTCATCCATGCTCCGAATGCCTAGTTAATTCCGGGCAAATGCCCTGTCATAGAATATTGCTGTTTTTGCTGTTGTCCATCCGACAACTCCGTGACTCGAGTCTGGAAGCGGGCTGAACATCCAACTTCATTTGCGGGTAAACCGAAATTATCTCAGCTTGTTGGTCATGATTTGTTCTAGAGGCTTGCGGTTCAGAGTCACATCGAAGCTGAAACAAAATGAACACTTGAGTGACTATAACTGTTTCACTCCGCCCGGCCTTACAGCACAGCCAAGATTTACCAGCAAGCGACGTCATAAATCGAAAAAAGGAGGCCGATGACATCCCAGCACATAACCCACCAGGCTTTGACAAGAACGTCAAATTCTACTATTCCACCTTGTTCTATCATATCTAAAGCCCGAGCGTTGGCTACGTTACGCTATTCTCTCTCAGGTACCTAACACATGTAACATTACTTAGTGTTGGCTTGCAAGTTGTGGCCCCCACCACGCCCCTCGCTCTTTTCTAAGAAAGAGGAGTGCAACGGCCCAACACGAAACTTCGCATAGGGTAGGGTAGACTCATCCCGAACCCTGAGAGCTTGTTGGAGCATGGTGCTAGAAGCAGGTGGACAAGGTACCAAGGTAGGTTGGCACTTAGAAAACGCCTTGACCAAGTGCTCCGCAGTCGCCGGAGAATATTATCAAGACGTCCAAGTGGCCGCAGGCTTATGTTTTCAAACTGCGGTCAGCCTGAAGGAGCTGAGCTGCCGGAACACACCCGGGTCGTATTTTTAGAGTAACTGATAAGGCCACTAGTCCCCAACAACTTAGACTGCACCGGTCATGGACAGTGAGTGGCTCAGGGAGCAAAGCTGACGATCAAAGTGATCTCATACAACTTTCAGGAAACAAATTCTTCCAAGGATGTTGGCGGACAAATGCCAGAAAAACCATGCATTGTTGGAATTGTTTTAGTGTTACTGCAATGGCAAGCCTAACCATTGGTTGTTGGCGAAGCTCTACATCAGAATCCAAAGTTACAAACTGTTCTGTTCCCAGTCACTAGTTCAGACCGACGAAGAGAGAAATAAAAAGCCTAAACTCCAAACATCCTACTGTGGTATCTTGTCCTGTCTCATTCGAATTCATGGCAACTTCATCGCATCTCCGTCTTCATACGGTCAAACAGCTCACCGATCCTGTGCTCAAAGGGGGCGAGGGGGTGCTCCTCCCCGAGACCCATTTCGGCAAACCTGTAACGTGCGTTTGTTGTGTGCATGGCTATGTAGCCCGCGACGCACTCGTTCCAGGATGCTTCATACGTGCCCCTTCCTTTGAGAATGGTCGCGACCCGCCTGGCACAACTCATTGTCTCCTCCTTGGTCTCCTCAACGATTTGAAGAAGTGGCCTTCCCGTGGTCAGAGCCCGATTGTGAATATAGTTTCGGGTGTCGCCGCTGAGCTCTTCTTTGTAGAAACTGCAGAGAGCCTGTGTTAGCCAATGATTACTGCAAAAGACATGCTCGAGTAAGACCCACGAAAAGACGTCGTTTGCGATATCGATGATCCTGGCCATGTCTGGAATGGCCTCGATCCATTGTGAAACGTCAGGATACATCGATTTAGGGTAGCAGAAGACGGCGTATGCAACATTGATTCCCGACATGTCTCTGAGGAAATCAGGGAACTTCTCGCCTGCTCTGGTGACTTCAAAGCTTAAGAAGCCTTCGTGTCGCTCCAACAGGTTGCAGGTCAAAAACTTCAAGGCGGATAGTTGAAGCATGTTGGCCAACACGGGGTCCCAGTGGTCGTAGGCCTCCCGTAGAAGAGTTGCAAGGCCTTCTAGCAGGTTGTGCTTCTGGCGCTGGCCGCTGAAGAAACGCTTGTGGAAGGCCATGGCCTCCTCAACCATTGCCCCCTCTGCCTGTCCAACGAGGTCATCGTATTGTACAACGAGCCATGTGAAGAGACCAACAAATCCCTGGACCACCGTGGGGTGGCGGGGATGGGCAAGCTGTGTGACGAGTCAACAATCACATCGTTCGCCACTGAAGAGCGATCTGAAGTCGGGGGCGAGCTTACCAGTCCTAGGGAGTATCCCAAGCGGAATCCTTTGGAGGAGATGGGCGTATCCAGAGGAACACCAAACTCAACTGATCTCCTGTACATGTACTCTAGCAGAGACTCGACAGCCTCTGCCTTGAGCACCGGCGCCCCAGAATAGTTCATCTCCTTGATCATTCTGGCGTTGATAGGCCCGCATATGGAGGCCAGTCTCTTGGGATCCTTTGCAAGGTCCTCATCGCGCGGCCAGCCGTGGGAGCCGCCAGAACTCCACAATGTGTTGAAGATATTTCCCCAAGAGGAAAATGCACTTGCAGCAGCATCGTGAGCCCCAAGGCCGGCGAAGTCAGGTGTAACAGACATCGATGCAACGTTCGAGCCCTGCCCGCAGGAAGGAAACAGTACAAATGCAAGAAAGCGTGACGGAGAAGTCGGTGAAACTGGATTCAAGGCAGGGCAAACACTGTCTGTCTTCTATTGTCAAAGATTCACCAACTCGACAAATGGGCAGACCTGCGTTTTATCCATGGCTGTCACGCGCACCCAAATTCGTTATCGTGGCAGAATCGGCGGTTGAATGTCTGTTTGCCCATCTCATCTCAACCATCGTCATCCATGATCAGAGCCTTGGCGAGACTGACCGATACACCGTGAAAATTCGCACTGTTGATGCCATTGATCCAACTCAGTGGGCTTACAGCGAGCTCGAAGCTCCCTGTCTCATTAAGTTTGTCGACTACTGAAGTTTGTTGCCTGCTCATTGGAGGACGACTTGAGTACGGCCAGGGATCTGTTGACCAATGCAGCAACCAGGACCCATGGACTGAATCTCTGGATTTGAATACCATACGGAGTTGTACCATGGGGGTGTGAACGAAAAAGGGCCCGAACCGAGTGCATGGCAAGCAGGCATCTTGCTTCTGTCGACTCAGCAAGCAAAATACCGACTGGGTGATGAACCCCTGAAGCTGCGACAACCAAGATCGCAGTACTCAGTGCTCACCATCGGTTATCCAGGATTAATTCTGAATCAGGGATGCATTGCAATGAAGACTGAACCAAATTATCTGTTCTTCACTTTTAGTTTTCTCAAACGTGTTCTCTCCCTCGTGCCTCAGCGATCTAGATGACGGAGCTTGATTGCCGGGTCAGGGGTCTGTTTGGACTGCACAATCAACGGGGAGAATTATTAAGAGAAGCAACGTGGTCGCTGGGCCATACTGTTCCATGTACGAGGGAAGTGGGGATCATCCGGGGTTGCACGACACTGATTCCGAAATCATTACATGATCTCCTCTCAATAAGAAGTCGTCCAAAATCTCATAGCCTAAGGTCATGGATGCGGTGTACAAATACAGGCAGCCATGATCCATCCGTCACTAACCACTTCCAGCTTGCATGCGCGCGCGAGCCAAATCGTCTCGAAACCCATGTTCATGCCTAATGGTCGATCTGTCAGCTGAAAGCAAACATGCATGTGGAGGTAGCAACGAATACCTGAAGTAAACAGGCCATATAGATACATGCTGTAGTAATCTGCGGAAAGTCCTAGTTGAAGATGTCATCGATCGTCGACGATATCTATGAGGGTCACATTTTGCTTTTTTGTCTTTAATGGCACACATCCCAATACCAGGATAAAAGATCTGGATCAGCCCAATATCTCGACTCACGATGAATCCATAGCAACAATTGAAAGGGAGGGGAGGAGGGGGCACCAGCAGGGCCAACCATCGCCCAGCACAAACTAGGACCAACACGCTTCCATGATCCCTGCCGTCTGAAAGGCCCAACCGAGGGGTGGCAGCAGCCAACAACGTGGTGGCTCCCAGACTCCCTGTTGGAATCGTCAGGATCCGCTTTCGCGCGTTCTTGGTATAAACGCCGATATCCCGTTCAGCTTTCTGGAAGTTTGCTACATCCCCCCTTTTCTTGTTGGTGCGACATATGCAAGCCGTTCAGAAGTCCCCCGGTCCAGCCTGTCTGCGTCTCCCGCCCTACCGCTCTCGGACTTTTCCAATTTACGGTAACACGAAGCACAAATCTTGTCGGAGAGATAGCTGAAGGGAAAAAGGGCTCCCAGAAAGGAACTTCCCTCCTGTTTGCTTACTTCTTTCGTCCCGAATCTGGAACGTCACTTTTGCGGACCGGTTTGAAGGCAGTTCTTCTCTCAACATGAGTACAGGTATCCATTACAAACGCCTGGACTCGTCAAGGCGTGAGATCCGCCTGATTGAGATACAGTCACCGCGCGATATCAGTGCCCCTATCGAGTGCCGCTTGGTCAACGTCCGCTTGAACGACGATTTGGATTTTATTGCCCTTTCTTCACTCTTTGGAGACTCTTCCGAAACCGACAAGATTCTCGTCAATGGCCAGACCATCACAATTACCGCCCATCTGTCCCTGGCCTTGAAGAACATCCGCGCGGTATTCTTCCCAACCATCTCCCAGCGTTTCCAGCGAACGCCCATTCGGAGACCCCACACCGGCCCGCGCTGGCTGAGGCAGCTTCTCGGACTGCCCACATCTCGTCCTGTGAACGAGACCAACGTCTTGCGGGTCTGGTGTGATTTCCTCTGCATCAATCCGTGCGATGAGTGGGAGAAGCAGAGGCAGACTACCGACATGAGGAACGTCTTCAGATCAGCCGAACTCGTTGTCGGCTGGCTAGGCGACAAGATGGAGCACACAGGCGAAGGCATGAACATCTTGGCCGAGATCGAAGATACCATGCCGCCTCACTGGGGAGACCCGGGTGATCGGGAGAAAACCCCCCAACACTACTCACCGACACACGAATGGGCGACAAAGATCGAGTACCTCTGGAAAGAAGGCCCAAACGGAGAAATCCCATTCATGGCGCCACGCTGGATAGGTGCCACAGACTTCATGATGCGGCCCTATTTCCAGCGTCGCTGGATTGTTGAGGAGCTTGCCTTGGCCCGATATCCGACCTTCTTGATCGGTGACATCATCGTGCCATGGAAGCAGGTACTCCGCCTGAACCGGATGTTGGAAGAGTTCAAGTATAAAGAATCCGACACATTCCCTGCGGTATGTTTGTCCCCTACCCGTCAGCCAAACCCCTGTCTGCATAATCTCTTTCTCGTTAATCAGCCCATCTGTCTGCGCATAAATTACTGACAAGCAACTCAGCATCTCCGCCCACTCGTTGCCGACCTTCCCCTGGAGTCCGCAGCCAAATTACTCGATGAGTTTGCTAGGAGGGAGGCATTGGAAGAGGCTAAGATCCTCCAGGAACACGCCACCAGCAGCAGAGCGACGTCTTCGAGCAGATCAACTCACTAATGACTGCTATGGCAACATCTCGCCAGCGATGGATGATTGGGGGTTGGGGAGTCGGAGGGAGGCTCCAAATAAGACAACTTAGAGATAGGGGAATAGCACGTTTGTCTTCGACATCCTACGGGGCTTGCTGATCGGATTTCATAGACTTTCGGCGGGTTTTAGTGTTGTGATGAATGGGATGCTTTGAAAAGATCGTTCTCGTGATCTTATGCTTCCTTGCTTCTCTGCTTTGTGGGCACTTATCAACCAAAAGGGATGTATTTGGACTCTCGGACTTCGCCTCAGCTTGAGATACCCTGCAATTGGATATCGTAATGGCCTCACTGCTGAGTGAAACCATAATGGCGAGGTTCCCACGCAGGATCGACGAATTGCAAATTTGGACATGGGGAAATTCAATTTTCTGTCACATATTGTGGTTCCCCAGTCACGATCCATCCTACTCCCACTTTACGAGCATACCAGACCAACGGACGCAGGCCAAAAGGGGGCTCGTGACAAGTCTATCATGTACGGGTCTTCCGGAAGAATGAGATTTGACACCGAGGTTCTGGGCGAAGGACGCGCAAGGTTCGGCTTTCGATTGTTCTCTTCATATTGTTCTCTCGTAACTATCCAAGGGCAATCCCTAGCCTGCCATATTGGGATGGTTGCATCATGCAGGTTTGCTACGTTGGTGCCCCTATTGTCCTATCCTGGGTGAAGAGACGGGGTCCCCTGTCCTCGTTGCCCCATTCTAGCAGGGGCTTAAGTGCCGTTTACCAACTGCACAAATGTTTTTTGACGTGACCAACATTGAGAACCAATAGAACTTCACTCAGGAGTCCGAAAGTCTGGATCCCTGACCACACTGTGTCAAGGTTGTCGAAGAAGCAAACACCAACAAGCAGATTGTCTGTTGGAACCTATCCCCCAAAGCTGCCGGAACCGACCATTAACGATTGGCTTTTCCCCGTGACCTCGTACTATCGGTAACGCCTTTCGTTGCCCACTTGTTTCTGTGGACTCGTGATAAAGTGATGGATAAGACGTCTCTTCTGGTGATGCTCCGATCACTCACCGCTTTTGGCATGCCAACAGTATTTGTGGGCAATCATTACTTCATGAGTAGCAATGATCAAAATCAATGCTCGATGCGGACACTCTCAAGTCCACTCACCCCAATGGCAACAATCGAGTCACTGGGTCTGAAGGAGGCGGCGGAAATAAATCACTGTATCCGTAGTTCCGTTGGTGCCGGGTACACGAACCCGATGCTATGGGAGCAACCCTGGCCTCCGCGAAGCTCGACCCACTGTTGGTTGTGTCCAGCAAGCAAAGAAGACTCTTGGATACGAATACGAACGACGTAGCTCTGAAAAAGAGATGTAAGGCGGCTGAGCAGTTTGGAAGAGAGATCTTGCAATATTGCTGTCATCTTATGGTGCCATTTGGATCCTTCAACGAACAAGATCGATTGTCCCATCGACCCGGACTGAAGCAGACCGGTCTCTCCATCTTCCCGGAGTCCGGCGGTGAAGAGACTTGGAGTACTATTTAACAACTCACCAGCACATCTTACCGGAAGCAGATGTTTGCTCAACTGCAGAGAAAGTCCGAGCAATCGGGAGGACGATTAAATTGTGGGGGTGGTTTCCGTTTGAGATATCCTGCATGTCTTGGCTGTCAGACGCAACTTCCCTCTCGTCTAATTTTTCTTAGCATCCACTGTTAGTGCAATACGTGGGATACCACCAAAATCCTTAACAGCTGAAAATCCTTCACCTCTCGCCTCCAGCGCCCTCCTGCGATGGCTTCACAGCCTCCGGCGGGCCCTGGATCGCCGCCGGCCCCTTCGGCCGGCCCTGATCGAGGCTCCGGAACCCTTCCGGAGCCGTCCCCAACCTCAAGGGCTAAACGCCGCCGCAGTACTGAGGCCCAGCCATCCCAGCCCAGCCTCGTGGGAAGCAAGCCCGACGCCTCTACGACAGCCCCCTTAACGGCTAAGGGGCCTACGACGATAACTGGAACAGCTACTGGAGCTGTCCTTACAGCCCTGGATGAGGAAGCGAAGCACTATGAAGCCCGGAAGGACGTCTTTATAGCTATCGCCAAGTCTGTGGATAATGTGGTCTCCTGCTTTGAGGGGCCTAGGAAGCAGATTGCAAAGGAGGCTACAGCCTATATGATCCAAGCCTTGAAAAGAATCATAGGTAACAAGGCAGCAGCCCCAGCCCTGCGTTGGGCCCAGCCTGTAACGTTACCTGAAACCCAACCCAGCCTCAAGCCCAGGCCCAGACCCAGCCCCAGGCTCTAACCCAGCTGAAGGAGGACCTCCAGGTCTTTGCCCGTATCCCTGAAGAGGGCCTAGGGGCTGCTAGGAAGCATGCCCCTTTTACCCTACGCCGTACAGTCTGCCAGGCCCTAAGCCTCCAACTAGCAGATATCCCACATATCTACCATATTGCAACTAGCTACTCGCTAAGACCCCTGAACAAGTAGGTCCAGCAAACCCTGCTTGCAAACAGACAGAAACTAGCGGACAGCCTGGGAGCTTATAAGGTTGAAACGCCTACTAAGTGGTTTACTTACGTTATCCCACGCTGCCCTGCTAAACTGTGGTCCCTTGATAGTGAGGCCCTCAACCCAGCCACTCTGGTTGAAGAGGAGGTCTTTGCACAGATGGGATGTAAGCCTATCCAGGCCTAACAATCCCAACTTAGTATAAACCCCATCACAAACGAGGTCTCTTGGATTATCTCCTTCTCTACAGAAGTACTACCCTTCAGGCTCTTCAACCAAAGCAGCAGATCTCAGCTTATCCAGAAGAAAAAGACCCTCATCAGACATAACCCTGGTTGCCAGGGATATCATTCAAACCAGTACTGTAACCGACAGCCACTCTGTAGCAACTGCAGCAGGCCTGCAGGCTCCCATAAGACCTGGCCCTGCATAGCCAGACCGAAGTGCGCTAACTGCGCCAGCCCCTTCCAAGCCAACCATAAGGACTGCCCAGCAAGGCCCTTAGTGGTTAACGGCTCCCCCACCCTCCCAGGTCGGAAGGAACTCTCCTGAATCCGTAAAGCTGGGCAGAAGGCCTATGAGGCCCTCTATCAGAGCAGCCAGGCTGGCACCCACGCCTGCAGCACCCAGCAACCTAGCAACAGCCTGACGAGCCCTCAGCCTGGCTCTAAGCGACCACAAGCCCCTACCCCTACCTAGGACTTAATCATCGTAGCGGACGTTAGCGATACAGCAAGCTCTAGCAGTATGGAGGAGGATGAGAATGAGGCTGAAGCAGACGTCTCTGACAGCAACCCTATCCTACTACCACTACCTACCCAGCATACCCCAGCTACCTCAAGCAGCAGGGTCCAGCGGGTAGCTCAGAAGCCTGATTATAACGTTATTAATGCCTACACCCACCTCGACCTCGACTCGGAGCAGTAGGCTCAGGACGGCTCCCCCACGAGTACTACGGGTCGCCCAGTGTAACGTGGGGAAGATAAGCCCAGCTCATACAGCTCTCCTAGAGCTCTGCTGGGCAGATCAGATCGATATAGTACTGACCCAGGAGCCCTGGATAGGCTATAGAGATAGGATGCAAATCAACACTCACCCAGGCTATAACTCTTATGTGCTAGTTGACTTCTGGAACAGCAGGGAAACAAGGCCTAGGGTTATGTCCTATATACGAAAAGGTCTAAGGCTAGAAGTACAGCAACAAAGACCTACCCAATCAAGGGATATCCTATGGATCAAGGCTGGCAGTATTACTATTATAAACGTCTACAGGCCACCAGGGGAACCTATAAACCGTACAACAAACATCCTCCTAAACTATCAACCGCCAGAGAGAGCCCTTATTGCTGGGGATCTTAATGCCCGCCACTCTTCTTGGGAACCTAGCTCCTAAAGCTGGAATCGAGGAGATGATATTGCAGAATGGGCTGAAGGCTGTAATCTTGACTTTATCGGGGAAGTTGGGGCCTCTACCTATACTCATGGGCACACACTCGACCTTACCTTCTCAAATATCCCCTTTGCAGAGGCCTATATCAGCCCGCACCTACATCCAGGGGCTGACCACCAGGCTATTACAACTATCATCCCACTAGGTAACACCTAGGAGCAGAGGCGACAGACTAGTCACCTCTTAGTACCAGACTCAGCCCTACTTCGACTTGCTGACTTAGTAAAGATAGGGCTCCCAGCCCTATCCACCTTAGGGGATATACCTGCTCCAGCAGAAATAGACACCCTAGCTATCCAACTAGTCAGCCTCCTCTCTATAGCTACTCAGGCTATAGGGAAGAGACGGACTAACCGGGGTAGGGGAGCTCCCTGGTGGACAGAGGAGTGTTTAGAGGCCCACCGAGCAGCTATTAAGGCTAGGCAACGACAAGCCCAGGATCCTAGGCTGTTACTACCACCGCCTATCCTCGAGGAGCAGAAGGCCTTTCTAACTACAGTTAGGAAGGCTAAGCAAGCCTATTGGACTACAAAGATTAATGAGGCTGGGTCTAACCAGGAACTATACAAAATCCTAAGCTGGCGTAAGTCTAGCCTAGCTATAAAGGCCCCGCCTCTTATAGTAGATGGACAGGCAATCAACAACCCCTACGATAAAGCCCAGGCTTTACGGAAGGCCCTATTAGAGAGATTTAACGCTACAGACGACCTACCTGGAAACCCTTTCACTGTTCCTATAGTAATAAGGCGTCTAATACCCTGGCAGCAAACAGTCAGCATAGAAGAAGTACGCCAGGCTACTCTCATAAAGGCTACAACCCCTGGGATTGATGGGATTACTACAAAGTTACTACAATCTATTTGGGGCCTTATAGCCACACCTATACAGCAGCTCTTTCAGGCCTGCGTTCAGACAGGTTACTTCCTAAGAACCTTCCGCAAAGCAGAGGTTGTTATGATCCAGAAGCCAGGGAAAACAGACTTCTCTAAGACTGGGTCCTGGCGCCCGATATCCCTGCTATCCTGCTTAGGCAAAGGCTTAGAGCGGCTGATAGCAAAAAGGATGGCCTACCTTACTATCCTAGAAGGGGTTGCCAGCCCATAGCAGGTTGGAGCCCTACCAGGGAGGGCAGCAGTCGACCTAACAACCTGTCTTACCCATGAGATCGAGAAGGCTCTAGATCTAGGGCTTACGGCAACACTAGCCACAATGGACGTCAAAGGGGCGTTTGATTCTGTCCTACGAAATCGACTTATTATTAGGCTACGACAGCAGGGCTGGCCTAGCAGTCTGATCAAGCTGATATACACCTTCACCTCTAGCCGAACTGCCTAGGTTAGGCTAGAGGACACGACTACAGAGGACTTTCCTCTTACCTGCGGGCTGCCACAGGGCTCGCCACTATCCCCTATTCTTTTCCTGCTATATATAGCTGATATCCTAGCTGACGATCAGAAGCTACGGTTTGGGTATGCAGACGATATAGGCCTGCTGGCTTCTAGCCCATCCCTTGAGGGTAATGCTGCAGCCCTCAGCCAGGAGATAACTCAGATCCTCAACTGGGGCACTGATAATAAGGTTGCGTTTGACCCAGTCAAGTGTGAAGCAATCCACTTTAGCAGAAAACATAACCAGTCAAGAGACCTACCAGATATACAGGCAAAGGACCTTACTATTAAGGCCTCAACTAAGCCTATACGATGGCTAGGGGTCTGGTTTGACAGGAAACTCACCTTCCGACACCACGTTGAAACAAAGGCAGCAGCAGCAAAAAAGGCAGTCCAGTTTCTACAGCACCTATCAAACACAAAAGGGGGGCTCCCAGCAGCTGCTGCACGGAAAGCAGTTATTGCCTGCGTCCTCCCAACAGCCCTATATGGGGCTGAGACCTGGTATGCAGGCTTAAATAGACCAGCCAGGAACAGAAGCACTACTACTACTGCTAGCAGCAGTGCTGCCAACCAGGTGGCTACAGTTAGTACAGGGCAGAAGGGCCTGGTCAAGAGGGCAGGGAAGGTTATAACAGCAGCAGCGAGGGCCATCCTACCTGTCTGGAAGACCACGCCAACTAGCAGCCTCCTCCGAGATGCTGGCCTGCCTACAGCAAAAGTAGCCCTTGAGGGAGTACGCCTACGCTTCGCCGCACGCCTACAGAAGGTTGACCAACCGCACCCTTTAGTCCCTAGGCTCTCACAGCCAGGACGGCAGCAAACAAGGCTTCAAAGAACAGCAGCTCTCCTACCTAAGTGCCCAAGGCCGCTGCTCCTACAGCCACAGTACCTCCTAGGACCGCATAACCCTACAGCTGGACAAAGTAAGGAGACTGCAGCTAAGTCGTTTCAGGCCTGGCTTAAGACTGTGCCAGATAACCATACAGTTATCTACTCAGACGGCTCAAAAACCCCTGAAGGGGCTACAGGGTTCGGCTTTGTTATCTATCGCAGTAATAGACGGATAGCCTAAGGATGTGGCCGTCTTAGCATTGCAGAAGTATTTGATGGCGAGGCGGAGGGGGCGAGGGCAGGGCTCCAAAGGGCCCTCCGTACATCCCAAGGCCAGCCTATACACATCTGTATCGATAACACGAGCGTTATCCAGGGGATTCAAAGTAGCGCCCCAGACTCCTCTCAAGCTGCCTTCTTAGAGATTCAGGCAGCAGCCAGGATATATACTATACAAATCCACTGGTCCCCAGGGCACCAAGGGATAAAGGGAAACGAAGAGCCTGACAGCCTAGCCAAGGAGGGCACAACGCTGCCGGTCCCTAGAGGCTTACTGCCAACCCTATCAGGGATTAAGCGGCTTGCTAAAGAACGCAAACAGCACCAGCATAGGAAATGGTGGAAGCAAGAGGCATCCCCCCGTTATACCCAGCTAGGGCTGAAGGCCACCCTTGGCTGCCCTCCTGAATTAGCTCTACCAAGAGCTATCCTTCATCATCTCCTAGCAGCTCGATCGGGCCATGGGGACTTTGAACAATATCATCAACGCTTCAACCACACAGAAGCACTACTTACCTGCTCCTGCGGGGAGGCTAAGGAGGTGGACCACCTGGTCTACTGCCGAAAGACATTAGTGAGGAGGCAACGGTGGCCTACCCTCCACCCTTATAGTCGGCGGGAGCCTCTAGGACCTGTGGGCTCTCTAGAGCGCTATTTTAAGGGGCTAATCATCGACTCAGAAGGCTTTCAGGCCTTCCTCAGCGTGACAGATTTCTTTCAGAAGATCTGCCCGCGGTACTAAGAGATAGGCTGCAGCCTACTCTCTAAGCAACTAAAAAAAAAAAAAAACAATTTGTTATAACGGAACTAGGGCACCAGTGGGAACTAGGGAAGGATGGAACACGTAGTAGCCTGCGGGCAATACTTGGAGGACGTTAGGAAGCGGCATGCGCTTAGAGTATATAGCTAGAACCTGCGGCCCTCCACGCCATATACCCTTCGGGAGGTCTGCCGCAAGGACGTTCTGCGTCCTTGCCGCCACGGCGTTAAATATAAAACAACAAAACAAACAACGGCTGTCAGACGCACTTCCAACAGAGAGTACGTGAATACCACTTCCAATCAGTGGTGGAGCCGTGCAGAAATCCTGCAGGAGACACAAGGAGGCTCAACATGCACCAACCCGACTACATTGTCGGAGCCGATACCAGACGAAGCCGAGATAAGCATCACTCACACGGACCTTCGGAGGCAACATGAGGGCATCACGACTATTGACAGCCCGTACGCAAAATTAACTTGACGTTATATCTGAGACATCACCCTTCATCACACCTACCAGGCATGCCAAAGTCGTCACCTCGCTGACCTCGGCGAAGCTAGAGAACGCTAGAGGGGCATCTCGGCAGTCCCCAGACCGTGAACCAAGTTAGTCACCACACAGAACCATACACGCCCTCAGCTGTCAAACCAGTCAGCTCGGAATCGTCGAAGAATCGGTGGTAACCCGATGCGGCGAAATCAGGGCGAAGCCACGTGGAACTGTCGGTTCTTCGGCGCACCGTCTCTCAAGATCTGCGCCATACAAAGGCTCAGCTTCTTGCCTCTTGAGGCAATACACATGAGAAAACCCAGGGTCCTGCTGTGGCCCTGTAGCTGGCTTGTGACGATGCACAGCTTCGGAGAACGGTGCTTGATGTTAGTGCGCGAGTCCTTACCAAATTGAACGACGACTAAGCGCCCCCATCGAAATTTTGCTGGAAATGCTCTGCTCTCGTCTTTTGTCCGATGAGCTGATCTGTGAAAACGGTAACCCGTGTCCCCCGAGCTAGAACGCCGCCACCGAAAGCTTCCTCGCCAACCACACAGCTGGGGGACCGTCCGGAATGACACGATCCAGTCACGGTCGGCTAAGGAGAACTAGACCACCGGGGAAGTCCACTAGCCCGTCCCGATCCGGCGAAATAGCATCCTCGATTTCCCATTTTTGTCACATTCCTGATCGCCCACGGATCGACAGCTGCTTTCTTTGCTGCTGGACGCCTTGCGCTGCATTCGTCCAAAGTTGCGCAGCCCTGCTGACAATCAGCGAACCAGTCCGGGCAAGCCAAATAATGTGGTCGTCTTTCTTCTCTCGCCTTCGCCAAGAATAACTAATCATGTAAATATTTCGTCTTTTG